TATCGCAATGAAAAATTCCGCATTATTGAATGTTCCTGGTATTCTGAACATTCTTGCATTCATTGTTTACATGGATTCCATAAAGGATTTTCAACAAAGGTTTTGTTGAATCACTCGATTTTAATCAGTCCAGCAGCACTTTGTGCAAATATTTCACTTTCAAAACGGGGCAAAGATTGATAACAATTTCAAGGTATTGAAACAGTTCTTCATTATGTCTGCCGAATATTGCATGGAAAAATAATCACTTGGCTTTATTGTCACATGGAGCAGGATGTTTTGAGGGAGATAAATACAAGCAAGACAGCAACTTCATCTTGCAATTAGAATATAAAATCAGGAAGCAGCGGAAAGTACTTATTTCAAAGGGGCAAATATCAAAGCACAAGGATAATTTGTCTAAACCAAACCAAGCTCTTGCACATCGCAGCAAAAATAATTGTGTAAAAATTGTTTGAAATTCTTATTTTCACATGGAGCAAAAAATTGACATTCCCAATTAATGAAAGGCGAAACTCCCCTTCATTATGCAAGCATATTTAATAATAGCAAAGAAGCATTGGAAATTCTAGTTTTGCCATGGTTGACGATGTTAAAGCCAAAACAAAATATGGAAATAAACTGCCCACTCGGTTATATTGAGATCAAAAATACAATAAAGAAATGTGGGATTATTTCTTGTTTACATGCGTATAACATTAAATAACATTATATTAATATATACTCATATATGATTGTTATTACTTCATTTTGTCACTTTATCATAAAACTAAAATTCTATTATAGGAAACAGAATAGAGTTTCAGCATTATTTTTCAGGTTGGTCTAACAGCAAAGCATCCAAAGTATCAACTAACTAAAGTTAATGCAGTCAACTCCAAAAGTGGAAACTGATAAATTTATTTGAGTTTTCTTTTTAATTTTTTCTGCGATTACTATCAAAACTTAAGAAGAAGTCCTTTCCTTTCTCAAATTTTCATATTCATTTTTTTCAATTCGCTTCTCAGTATCGTTGACTTGGCAATGATTTGGTTAAAAGTAATCCTTTCATTTGTTACCCTTTCAAGTGTTAATCAAATTCAAAAAAAAAAATTACTAATTATAGATCATCTCTATTAAATCGGGGTGGTGCTCTTATTTGGTTAAAGTAATACTTTCATTGTTGCATTTTCAAATGTTTAAGAAACTGAAATATATCAAGATTTATTTTGCCTTTAATCAATTGTATTTGATATAGCCATTTGAATTATTTTATCAGCTTAATGGGATATTTAGTCTGTTATTCAATATATAATTACTATATGAAAAATTCAAAATTTGAAAAGTACTTATCAAGTTGTCGTCATTGATTTCAAATGGGATAGAAGTAAATTTGATAATAATGGATAATCCTGTGGATTAGTTTCACGTCATATTTATGGAGAACTGTAAAAAATTGGATAAAAAGGGGAAATAAATGTTATTGATAATATAAAAATGAGAAATAAGAAGTTGTTCCGTTTTGGAATCGGTTAAGCGATCTGAGGATTTAATAAAAACAATACAAAAAAAATTGAGTAACAACAACTTTATGAGGTGAACAATTGTAAACAAGATACATGGATAAATTAGCTGGTTGTAGTTATTAGTATTTGCAATTCTGAAGAGATTTCTCAAAATTCTTTGTTTTAGGGAAATGTTTCATACTGTTTGATATTTAGTATTCTATTCATGATGTTGCCATATTTATAGGCAGATAAGCTCCTACTATGGGTAAGACGAGAACGACTAATGAATTATGCAAACTCTCATTGATTTATCCATGGTTGATATGTTTAGTTGGGGAGTATGCACCCGAGTATCGAAGCGAATAATGTCTAAGCGCGTCAGTTTTAGCAATGTATAAATTGAAAGGATCAATCATTGTATTTCACAATTTTAATTATTAAAAAAATAAAATTAAAAAGGGGGGGGGGATATAATGTATGAAAAGATGAGGAGACCTTTCATATCAAGAGGTTTACATTACTCTCAATGTCGGAGAAAATTTATGTTTGAATTTTATCCATTTTATTATATTAGAAGACAACTGATTATTTTTAGAACTGTTTTATCTAAAAAACAATAAGAAGTGATGTGAGGTTAAAAAAACGAATGTTGAAAAAAGATCTTTTGTAATTCAATTAGTAAAATACAATAAAGGAGTGTGATGTAAAAGTTTATGTTGAGGTATACTCATGCGTGCATTTACAATTTTGAGAATCAACAGGTCGTTTTCTTCTGATAAAACCAATTGAATGTAAAGGTAATTGGTCTTGAATAACACTTCATTTTAAGTCAATGGAAGCAGTCCAGAAACACTTGAGGATCGTTCGCCGGCACGCGATCCAGATCAGAAGGAATTCATCCAAGCAGTCACAGAAGTTTCTCACATCCTTCGTCCAATCCATCGGAGAAGAACCAAAGTACAGAAAGCTGATCCTCCCAGCTCTTACTTGAGCAGAGCGTGTTATATGTTTCGTGTTCATGGTGTCAACGACAAGGGCGAGAATGATGTCAACCGTGGTTTCCGTGTCAATTCAAACAGGCGCTATCGGCCCATACAAGCGGCTGCCGCTTCCGTTGGCAACGTTAACCTTTCCATCCTTAAGTTCCTCGGCTGCGAGCAGTCTTCAAGAACTCACTTACAACACTTCCCAATGGGTGTGGCAAGGAAAAAAAAAATGGGTTGGTTCCGATTTCCGACCCAGCGGCAGAAGATGATGGCGACAGTCATAGATTTCTGTCCGACGTCATTTATGCTCGAACTTTCACGCCCAAATCGGCGGCAACACAGATGTCCAGCAGGTCTGATATCGGTGTTGGTGCTCGTGAAATCGGCTACATGTTCGGGCCTAGTACAAGCGCTCCAGACGTTCTTCCGAGGGCTTCCTGCCAGGCAAGTGCATCTCATTCGGTGGCTCACTGATCCTCCAGAAGCTACAGGCTACGGTCTTGTCTACTTCGTTCACAAGAAATGCTCCGTGCTAAGGGCGAAGAGATCAAGGGCATGCTGTGCCATGGTTTCCGGGCTCCGGCAACGTCGCACAGTTACTGCTGCCAGAAGCTCATGCAGTCGCGCAATTCCCAGTCTTCATGCTCAGACTCACACGGGCGCTCTCATCTTCAAGGATGAGTATTGACAAAGGAGCATCTTTGATGTGTATGCACATTCAAAGAACGTTGCTCGTCAGATCAGAAGATTTCAGAACTTTCCCAGACCTCAAGGGCTACGAAGTACATCGATGGCAAGCTCATTCTGGGCTGCGAAAGTTTCCATGCGAGATGGTTTGTCTTCCATGTTGCTCACAGAACGAAATTCTCCCAGAGCACTGTTCCAACATGGTCAAGAACGGTGTTCAAGGCTCCTCGCGAATGGTGCTACATTCGCATTCAACAAACGCAGAAATCGAGCTCTACATGAAGGAGAAACAATCTACTACGGCCCAGGCAAGGCAGCCAACGCCGGTGTGTTTCTGTCTCAGTCTTCCGAAATGCCCAGAAACAGCGTCCGCCTCGCAGTATGGTCTCCGAGAGGTCGACAAGAAGCTCAAGGAAAAATTCATGCACAACATCCTTCGAAGCCGGCCCATTCTGCCAGGTAGCAGTATGATGTATCCACTCAAAGGGTTGCCAACTTGCCAGGCTTCCAAGCGTAGTTTGCGATGTGCTATGCTTGCCACGGCTGCTGCTAAGCTAGCGAATAAAATTTTCTAGGTTTTTAGGTTGAAATCAGTGCGAAACAATTTTTAAATTTTCCTTAAACTATTAACCCAATGGCTTTATTGTTATTTATACATTGGATGTTTATTCTACTCAAAATACTTTAAATGTGTGCTCTTTTGTTTTATTAATGTAAAATGAGGATATCCTGAATTTCGGCCTCAAAATAAAAACGATTTTGAACTTTTTTCCATAGGCTCTTTGAATTTGTTCAAGGTGTCATACTTTATGATTTCTTTTTGTTCCTGATATAAATTCAACGAGTTGTCTTTTTTCAAATGAAATCTTAGACACTATTTGTCTTCAGAATCATTGAATGGAGTCATCAAGTCACATTCCGGGCCAGGAAGATACCGGACAGATTGCCTGATGATTCCACTCCATTAGTTCTCAAAAAGCTTGGACAAGGTTCATTTCTCAGAAGTATATGAGGATTATTTACCAAAGACAAAAATTCCAAGCAGCAATAAAGGTCACTTGAGCGTGTGATCAAAGCCACCTTATCTCAAAGAAGTTCAGCTTTTTGACAGATTAAGAAAATTTGCCTCACAATTATTCAATATATTTGAGTGATCATGACGAAAAACCGTGTTAGTATTTGAGCTCGTTAAATCTCTCGATATTTGATGAATTTCTTTTGGAACTACCTAACTTCCTCATAAACGGGAAAGACAGTGTTAAAAATATTTAATAATTGCGACAAATGAAGGGCTCATAAAGAAAGGAATTGTCACTGATATTAAATTAGCGAACATATTTATGCATTACAGAAGACTTCTCAGATCTCAAATTGATCGATGTGGGGATGTACGGAACTGTATATTACAGACTTCAAGTGTCTCCAAAAGCAGGTTCTAGGGCTGTCAGATCCCCCGAAAGGCTACTGGATACCAGAGCCTATGGTTACTGGTGGTGATTGCTGGGCGATTGTACTTTATTTCTTCGACATTTTAACAGATGGTCAGTTCCTTGGAAGGCCAAACGAAGTTCTGAAGTTCATAACACATGTCGAGGATATTGGAGGTGATATCTTTTGACCTCGCGTATAACTTGATTATAGAGCCAGAAAGAGAATTCTAGAAAGAGACATGCGCAGAGAAACAACGAGACTTGGGAAAAGTTACTTCATTAAGTACTGCCGTTGACCTTTGTGACGGATCAACTCGTTGATTTAATGAAAGAAACTTTTGACCATTGATCGGAAAGAAGATTATTACAAAGATCAGGCTCTCAACCACCCATACTTCAAATAAAATAGAAAATCATGCTTTGTTTGTCATGAAACTTCATTTTGAAAAAAATATGAAATTCTTTTTTATTGGAGCTTTATTATTGTTTTGATAAATATCCGAAATTGATTTGTCGTGGTGGAAAAAACTGATTTCTTTACGTCTGATTTCAGCAAAATCATTACTGACATTTTACTAGATTGATATTTTTAGTAACTTTCCAGCGAGATTATTCATTCTTAGATAAGATAATAATGCAGGGAAAAGTTTCAGCTATATCCGCAATCCTTAATGGATTACGGATCAATAGTTTACCATATAGCAGAAGAAATTCATCAACTTTGAAACGATTTTGGTCAACACCACAAAAACACGTTCAATTCCCGTGATTGCATTGCATTAATAGGATATAATATTTTTTCGGATGTTAGTTTCTAGAATTGGATTTGAATGAAAGAATTAATTGTTATCACTTGCTTGTTTAAATGTTGGCTGATTACTTTTCATTGACACAGGGCATATATTATTAACGACGGAATAAGAAAAGGGTTAATTTTAAAAGACAATGAGGTTGAATAAAAAACAATAGTACGGATCAAGTGAAATTATGTAAAAAATGATAAACAGAAGTGTTCATTAGAATATTCATTTTCGCAAAAAAAAAACTCTCATTAAACATATTTTATTAGATTATTAATTAATTTATCATACAGGAGGTTGTTGGTGTACTGTTTTGTGGTTAGAAGATCAAAGTTCAACACTTTCTTGATTGAAATTTACTTCCAAAGAGATCATTTATGTAGTGGTGATTCATAATCAAAAAAAAAAAAAAAGGAAGTGGGGCTTTCCAGGCAACTTGCGTGTATAGATCCCAAGGTGATGTGATTTGTTATGCATCCCTTGGGATGGACGATACACCAAAGTGTCACCTTTTTGATACATGAATTTTAAATATTCATGAGAGTTTCTTGCAAACCATATGCACAATATCTATTCAGCCTGAACTTCTTGTATATATGAGTTAGACTTCTGTAACATATGTGCTTTGGGGCGATATAAGCATTTCCGAGATTACCATTCGTGCTCTATAGTAATTGCTACTTCTTCCCTGGTTCCTAGCTCAGTTCCACAGGATATTGGCTTCAAGGGAATTTGGCAGGTCTTCCGAAGTCTCCTTTTCGAACTGAGAGATCGGAAAGAATCTTGCCTTAAAGTACTCCAACTCTTGTTCTTTTTTGTTCTAAATAATGAGAAAAAAGTTATTTGACTACTGTAAGTAGAGATATCCGAAGGTCCCTCACTTTGATTGACAGGCCTCAGATAATCTCTGCCTTCCTTAAAATTGTTACCACTTGTAGTCCATTGAGAGCGTAAGATATACATTGATAGGACAGCTTTCTTCTGAAGTCTTAGAATTTTGAATGAAACCTCAGAGAAAACTGTTCCTTATTTTATAGTAAAGAGTTTCAGAGCTTCAGAGCTCCCTTGCGTAAGTGAATTAGGGCTTTGAAGCTTCCTGGTTCGAAGATGTGCTTCGCATCTTTCATTCAGCATAAGGACATTTACCATCTGGGACTCTGTTGATGAAGACTCAGGAGCCTCCAAAAGCTCCCTTTCGTAAGATTAAGGAGCTATTTGGAGTCCTTGGTTCGTAGAAGAGCTGGCATCTTTCACGAAGAGGCCCCAAATGGTAAAATAGCTCGTGCTAGATGAGTTCAGGAGCTCCAAGCTCCCTCTCGTAACCGAATTGAGCTTTTGTAGCTCTGAAGGTAGAGAGGATTGCTTGATCTTTAATCATTTATTGCATGCGCTCATTATGAACTCTACTGACAGAGATCAAGAGACTCCAGGACTCCCGTTTTTAGTTAGTGGCGTTCTCACCACACTTTTAGTAGGATTGCTGGATCCTACTATGAAAGTGATCACCTTAGTATACGTTTATGAATAAATTGAATTTTTTTAGAATTTATTATTTTTATATAGACATCACCATGGTATATTATAAATACATAAATATATTTTAATTCAAAAATATCAATTCGGTTTTGGGCATGGGTAGCCAGGCCCAAAAGTATTCAAATCTTTATGTTCAATTTTAAAGAATTTTGTGGTTGGATTGCCCAGACAAAACAAGACTTTATATTTTTGATGTGTAGATACGTATGTGTGCATCATTGTTGTGTTTATAATTATGTTTTTAATGAAAAAACTGAATTCAAAAAAAATTATCACTAACTTAGTTGATAATATAAAGAAAAAATAGATAAATTGTATGTTTTGAGAGTATTTATCCCATTCACTCATTATGAATTCATTAAGTAGTGTCTTATTTACTCCCAAATTTATTTTGAAATTTATTGAAAATCAAAGAAAAAAAATTAGAAAAAATTTCTCGAAATTTTGTTTCAAAAAAAATTTGGATTTTATATTTTGAAAACTTGACACTGGGAGGACGATAGGGCTGGGATTTGGAGGAACCCGCTCAGTTGGGAAAAATACGGATCTATACTTCGTGCCCTCTTAGTCCCATAAGAAATTTTTAGTCTTAAATTGTTTTTTTTATTCGGTACTATTCTGAATTTGAATGTCTTGGAAATTTTCTTCTTCTTCGCTCATCTGGAGGTGAGGATTTCTTCGACTTCTTCTTCTTCGCCATTGGCAGAGCAACAAATTCCTGCGATGAAACTTTGTATTAAACCTTCTTGAGGAGTCTCGTATGAGAAAGTCGTATTGTTGAGAAAATGGGAAACTCGACATCTTGAACAATATGGCAACTGCTGTGTTGTGAATTTTGCTAAAATGTGAGAGTGTCTGTCCTTTAGAGCCTGGGCGAAAGCTTGAGATAGTTACTTGTTTCCTCCATGATGGAAACTCTGGCTAGGAGATAATCTAAGAAACAGTTGTTATAAAACGTGGGGAAATTGTCTTGAAATTCTGGTAAAGGATTCCATGGCAAGTATAGTCGTTTGACTGGTTGTCTTTTGTTTAGAAATATAAATTAGAATGACCTTTCACCATGTCATTTCATTCTTCCAATAATTGTATGAATTTGGATAATAAAACGGACAAATTCAGGCAATTTTTTAACTTTTTGTAAATGCTTCTGAAGTTCTTTGGAAAAGTGAATGAACTGTGTTCAATAGCTTGCAACCGCTATGAGATTGCAGTAACGGGTAAATTATGAGCAAACATGGCAACAAGTACGCCCAGGGTCTTTGATTTCGTTTTCAGAGGCTGAATGGCGATTTACATGGACAGCTTGAAAACATCTCGTTATAATGCTCGATTGCTTTCTGAACCCACTGTCATTTAACTTATCTAAACAATTCTAACCTTTTCTTGCGTAATTTTCTAACGAACTTTCTCTGAAAGAGGAGTAGTCGCTATCTCTGTGTTGTCTTGAATTTGAGACTTAAATTGTTTGCTAAAGACGAGATATTCGTGTTTGCGACTGAGTGGTCATTGCAGAATGTGTTTTCTGTATGTTCGTTGGAATGTGTTTCGGTATTTCGGGTTGTTTTGTGTTTCATGTTATAGTTCGATTGGAATCTGATTTTGGTATGGGGAACTTCTGGGCTTGAAAATGCTTTCTGTTCCGATAGTTGTTGTTGCCTGACCTGTTGGTGAGCTGTTTCGTTGTGCAAATTGCTATTTCCAAACAATTTTGTCTTGAATTGTGATGAGGAGGTTGCTATTGGTATATATAGGAGGTCATAAGGGTTTTGAGAATGGTGAGGACATAATTTGTAGGAACGTTTAATGCAG